TGATCACTATTTGTCTACGCAAATACAATCATATAATAAAATTTTTTACTTATTTTCCTTAATTGAACTCACCTGCCAAAGTGATTGAATCAATACCACCCGTTGAAGTGGTTTAATCGAGCTCACCTGTCGAAGTGGATAAATTGAGCCCACCTGCCAAAGTGGCTGAATTGAGCCCATTTGCCAAAATGGTTGTGTTCATTCCTTTTGCAAGGATGATCTAGCCCAATTTTGCGGGGGCATCTATCAGAGAGGACCATCATGACTGATAAAGACATCTATCAATCCATCATTGAGAGTCACCCGACATGTCTTTACATCCAAACATTAAGGATGATCGTCGTACCAACACTGCATGACCATCCATGTCACCGTCTTTTCATCAAAAGACCTGGGAAGGGTTCCATTTAGTATTAAATGTATTGCATTTATTATATTCTTATTCTTCTCCCTTGTGTTTAAAAGGGAATTCAAGGGGAGATTGAGGGATCTCTCTTCCCGGAAAGGGGGATCTATACCTGTTCTTCTCTCTCTTACAAAAGATCTTGTAACTCAGAGAACCTCCAACGTGCCAAATTTTCCTGACTTTTCGAAGATAAGAGCTCAATATATTCTCTTAGATTCTCTCTCAAGGCTCAAATCAGTCTCTCCCTTTCATTTTCTCTCTACGATGGAAGATCTTTGCCTGTTTCATTGTGTAAGTGTTAGGGCGTCCCCTGGAAGCGAAACGCTGTATAGCCTGAATACAGTGAAAAGTGTGCAAGGGCCACTACACCGGCTCCCGGGTGTAGTGTTATATAAGCAAGGGTTCCCACATTACGGGCGAATGCAAGTAAAGAAGTTAGCCTATGAAACTAATGTAACTAATATTATGATAGAATCTTGGAATATAGGTACTCTCAATGGTAAATTAATGAAATTAGTTAATATTATGATTCATAGGAAAATTAATATCTTATGTATTCAAGAAACTAAGTGGGTTTGAGAAAAGACTAAGGAGATTGATAATTTAAGTTTTAAATTTTGGTATTTTGGTAAGAGTCACACTAGAAATGGTGGTGTAACTATATATAAGAGTTTGAAAGATAATGTTGTAAAAATTAATAGAGTTGGAGATAGAATTATAGCTTTTAAGATTATCATTGATACTAAGATTTTTAATATTATAAGTGCTTATGCTCTTCAAGTAGGTTTAGATATAGGGTCTAAAGATAAATTTAGGAATGACTTAGAAGATTTAATACAAATGATACCTCTTGAAGAAAAAATTTTTATTGGAGTAGATTTAAATGAACATGTCGGTAGAGTGGTAGAAGACTTTAGAAATACTCATGATGACTACTGTTTTCGAGTAACTAATGAAGAATGTAGAGCTATTTTAAATTTTGCTTTAGCGTATGATTATGTTTTTATTAATACTTTATTCAAGAAATGAGATGAGCATCTTATCACTTATAAGAGTGGATCAAACACAAATTGATTATTTTCTTATGAGAAGAAGAGATTGTCACGATTGTAAAGATTGTAAATTGTAAAGATTGTAAAGTCATTCCAAGTGAAAATTTAAGTACCTAACATCATTTATTAATTTTAGATTTTAAGATTAAGAGTTGTAAAATAAAAAAATACTAGGAGTCATCATCGTAGAATTAGATGGAGAAACTTAAAAGACAAATAAAATTAATTTTATGCGTAAAACTCGAGATTTCAAAATTTGGGATATTCATAAAGAAACAAATGGTATGTGGGATAAAGTAACAAACACTATTAAACAAATAACAAAAAATGTGCTTGGAGAATCAAAAGAAAAAGTTTTTATAAATAAAAATAGTTGGTGGTGTTGGTGGTGAAGTTGGTGGTGAAATAATAATGTGCAAGAAAAGATAACATATAAGAATTTATGTTATAAAAATTGGTTTAAATGTAAAAGCTTAGAAAACTCGGAAAAATATCAAACGGCCTGCAGGGAGTCTAAAAAAACAATCTGTGACGCTAAAAATTATGCTTTTAATGACTTTTATAATAGATTAGATACTAAGGAGGGTGAAAAATATATGTATAAACTAGCCAAACAAAGAGCAAAGAAAAGTAAAGATTTAACTCAAGTAAAGTATATTAAAACTGAAAATCAAAAAGTACTTTTCTTAGAAAAAGATATTCAACATAGGTGGGTGAGTTACTTTGATAAACTTTTTAATGAAGTTTCTGAAAATACGATCGACCTTAGTGATTTTAATATCGTGAATAATAATAAAACGTTTCCTTTTTACCATCACATTAGTAAAAAAGAAGTTGAGGAGGCTTTAAAGAAAACAAAGAGTTGAAAGTCTGTAGGATCCGGTGACATCCCAATTGAACTGTGGAAATATTTGGGAGATTTGGCAGTTTCTGGGCTTACTAAACTCTTTAATATTATTTTAAAAACTAAAAAGATGCCTGAGGAGTGGAGGAAGAGTATTTTGGTCCCCATTTTTAAGAATAAAGGGGATGCACAAGAGTGTGCAAATTATAGAGAAATTAAGTTGATGTGTCATACTTTAAAA